TCCGAGGCCTTGTGTCATGGGGTAACGTCCCATGTGGATCAAAGGAGAAGCCAGGAGTCTACACCAATGTCTGCAGATACACCAATTGGATCCAAAAAACCATTCGGGCCAAGTGACCCTGGCCATGTAACATCCAGCTCCTGACCTACCTACCACCCCACTGGCTGGTTCCAGAACGTCTCTCACCAAGACCTTGCCTCCCCTCCCCTCCTGCCCAGCTCTGACCCTGACGCTTAATAAAGACGGTGACACAAGAGCCCCGATTCTCCCTGGTTTTACCCCAGCTCCATCCCTGCATCACTGGGGAAGACTTGCTGAGTGAGGACCCGGGCCGAGGCCTTACCCCCACCACTAAGAGGACACAGGAAAATCCCTTCTAAGCATCTCCCCTCCCTTGTTATTCCAGGAAGTTTGGTTTCTTCCTGCAGAGGCCCCGCCATGTGTCTGGAATCCCAGCTATGCCTCTTAGTATCTGTGTCTCCTTGGGATATACCTTCCTTTACTGTAGGTTTCTCATCTGTAAAATGAAGATAAGGTCGGTATAGTCCCGTTAAGGCAGTGGCTGTTGGGAAGATTTAAGGTTTCACACCCACGACATGCACAGGACAGCGCCTGGCCCACCATGCGCTCAATAAAGAGTGAATTTTATTATGAATGGGGCTTTTTGCTTTAATTTTACTTCCACCTTTCTGAAATCTAGATCCTCTCAGTTCTCCTTTCCAGCGCAGTTTGATATTTCCTCCCCTCCAGGAAGGCACCCTTGACGCCTCCACCTTGCTACACCTCAAGGATGGCTCTTGCCCCTAAATTTTTTGTTTTCACCGAGACAGTGTCTAACTCTGTCGCCCAGGCTGGAGTGCAGTGGCACGATCTTGGCTTGCTGCAGCCTCCACCTCCCAGGCTGAAGTGATTCTCCTGCCTCAGCCTCCTCAGTAGCTGGGATTATGGGTGCACATCACCACACCCGGCTAATTTTTGTATATTTAGTAGAGGTGAGGTTTCACCATGTTGGGCAGGCTGGTCTCGAACTCCTGACCTTGTGATCCGCCCGCCTCGGCCTCCCAAAGTGCTGGGATTACAGGCGTGAGCCACTGTGCCTGGCCTAAACTTCTTTTGTCACAGCAAAAGCAGGGAGGTTGGAGGGTAGGAAGGCCACCATGCATGGGTAAGGGTGATGGGAGAGGAGGGCAGGGGTCAGATCCCCAAGGACCTCAGATGCCAGCGTGAGAGGCCGGGACCTTCTCCTGAAGGCAATGGGGAGCCGTGGGGCCATATGCAGGATGAACCAGAGGGGAGGCACTGGAGGCTGGGGCCAGGGAGGAGGTTGAGGTGATGGTGCAGGGAGGAAAGATGTGAGGTGGGGCTGAGCCTGGGAGGGCTGGAAAGCAAGGCTGGATATGAGGTCACCCTGTGGAGAAGTTCGGAAGGATGGCATTCTCGCAGAAGGAACAACATGCAGAAAAGCCTGGGGGTGTGAGGACACCTGTGAACCAACCCGGATGGCAGAGGCTGGGGTTTGAGGTGGGAGAAATGAATGACGTGGCTGGAAATGTAGGTCAGCGGAAGATGATGCCACTGAGTGCCAGGCAGAAGAACTCGGACCTGATCCTGAGGGCCTGGAAGAGGAAGGATGCGTGAGACCTGGGCTTCGTCTTCAGAATCAAAGAAATGCAACATTTTATCATGGAGACATGATGGAAGGAAGTGGATGACTTTTTGTTTGTTTTTTGAGATGGAGTTTTGCTCTTGTCACCCAGGCTGGAGTGCAATGGTGTGATCTCGGCTCACCGCAACCTGTGCCTCCGGGGTTCAAGCGATTCTCCTGCCTCAGCCTCTGGAGTAGCTGGGATTACAGGTGCCTGCCACCACGCCCGGCTAATTTTTGTATTTTTAGTAGAGATGGGGGTTTCACCATGTTGGTCAAGCTGGTCTCGAACTCCTGATCTCAGGTGATCCGCCCGCCTCGACCTCCCAAAGTGCTGGGATTACAGGTTCGAGCCACCACGCCTGACCTTGGTTTTCTCACTTTAATGAATGAAATATTAATGACCATAATCAAAACAAACCTCAGAATAGGTTTTGTTATTTCGGGTTTTTTTTTTCCTGTGCACTAAAACCAGTCTTAAGTGCTCTAAAATCTCTTATTTAACACATTTCGGTTGGTTTTTCACCCTCAAGGAATGAGGACCCAAAGAGGGCAGCATCTTCGGGCATCTTTGTCATTCTGTTCACGGACACCTCAGGCTGGCACATCACAGGTGAATGCTTAATTAGCTTTTGCTTCCTAATGAGGACAGAGGCAGGGAGACGTGAAGACAGATGCAAAGAGCTGGAGGCAGACAGAAAAAAACAGCCAGCGTGGAGAAGAGGCCAGTACAGGCGGCCTCGGATGGCTCAGGAGTGGGGACAGAGAAGCCACCTTTCAGGTTCCCTGCCCAATGCCCATTTCCCAAGCCGTCTGCCCCTTTCCTGGCCTCTTGACCTATTTTCCCATCAACAGGTAGCCCTGCCCAACTGTCTCACCCATGCCTGGCCACACCAGCTGGGCCCTGGCACCTGCAGGTTCCCAGACTGGGTCCCTGCCCCTTTCTGCTCTGGTCCTGGGCCCAGAGTGAAGTCAGGAGGAGTGAGGGCTCCCCCTGCAAAGTGGCCCGAGTCTCCCCCAGTCAAAATGCAGGGAGAGGGAGGCAGAAAGATAGGGAGAGAGGAAGAAAGGGAAAGACAGAGACACACACACAGAGACGGGGAGAGAGGGAGAGAGAGAGAGAGACAGAGATTGTGGGAAGAGAGAGGGAGAGGAAAAGAGAGAGAGGAAGGGAAAGAGGGAGGAAGAGAGGGAAAGAGGGAGAGGGAGAAAGGGAGGGAAAGGGGGGGGGGAGAGAGAGAGGGAGGGAGAGGGAGGGAGAGGGAGGGAAGGGAGGGAGAGGGAGAGAGGGAGGGAGAGGGAGGGAGAGGGAGGGAAAGGGAGGGGGGAGAGAGAGAAAGAGAGGAAGGGAGAGGGAGGGAGAGGGAGAGAGGGAGGGAAAGGGAGGGAGAGAGGGAGAGAGAGAGAGAAAAAAAGAGGGAGCGAGAGAGATGGAGGGACAGACGGGGGAGAGAGGGAGAGAGAGGAAGGGACAGAATGATACAAATACAGAAACACACAGAGAACACACAGAGAGCCTGGGAAGAATCAGAGTCAGAGAGAAAAGAGAAGATAGATGAAGACACAAGGGAGACAGAGGTGTAAAGAGAGAGGTTAACAGAGGATCCCAGACACACACAAAGGGGCAGGAGCACAGTTTGCAGGGTGGTGACTAGGACCATCCTTCTGATCACAGGTGACCGTGTGACAGGTCCCCAAAACCATCACATTGTGCCCTTTAAATATGCAGTTTGGGCCAGGTGCAGTGGCTCATGCCTGTAATCCCAGCACTTTGGAAGGCAGAGGTGGGTGAATCACTTGAGGCCAGGAGTTTGAGACCAGCCTGGCCAACATGGTGAAACCTTGTCTCTACTTTTAAAAAAATACAAAAATCAGCCAGGCGTCGTGGCACACACCTGTAATCCCAGCTACTCTGGAGGCACGAGAATCGCTCACGGAGGTTACAGAGAGCCAAGATCACACCACTGCCCTCCAGCCTGGGCAACAGAGCAAGACTCTGTCTCAGATAAATAAATAAATAAATAGCCGGGCGCGGTGGCTCAAGCCTGTAATCCCAGCACTTTGGGAGGCCGAGACGGGTGGATCACAAGGTCAAGAGATCGAGACCATCCTGGTCAACATGGTGAAACCCCGTCTCTACTAAAAATACAAAACATTAGCTGGGCATGGTGGCGCGTGCCTGTAATCCCAGCTACTCAGGAGGCTGAGGCAGGAGAATTGCCTGAAGCCCAGGAGGCGGAGGTTGCGGTGAGCCGAGATCGCAGCCATTGCACTCCAGCCTGGGTAACAAGAGCGAAACTCCGTCTCAAAAAAAAAAAAAAAAAAAAAAGAATAAATAAACAAGCAGTTTGTTGTATCTCAATTTTACCTAAAAAAAAAAAAAATGTTGTGAACAAATAGAGCAGAAGTGAAATAAAAAAATAAATAAATGGGCTAAGAACTCTAAGGTATTTTGACAAATCATACAGAACCTTTAAAAATAAAGTATCACAGAGGCACAGAAAGACAGGGGGACAGGGAGACAGCCACACTTGAGGCCCAAAGAGAGAGGAACAAGGCTGGAGAGGGAGGGAGGAAGAGAGAGAGAGAGACAGAGACAGAGACAGAGAGAGACAGAGAGAAACAAAGACAGACAGAGACAGAGACAGAGAGACAGACAAGGATACAGAGAGAGACAGAGACAGAGAGACAGAGAGACAGAGACAGAGAGACAGAGAGAGAGACAGAGACAGAGACAGAGAAAGAGACAGAGATAGAGAGAGAGACAGACAAGGAGACAGAGACAGACAGAGACAGAGACAGAGAGACACAGAGAGACAGAGACAGAGAGAGACAGAGACAGACAGAGAGACAGAGACAGAGAGAGACAGAGACAGATAAAGAGAAAGAGACAGGGAGAGACAGAGAGAGAGAGACAGAGAGACAGAGACAGACACAGAGAGAGACAGAGATACAGAGAGAGACACAGAGAGACAGAGAGACAGAGAGGCGAGGAAGGAGAGAAAAAGAGGGAGGCTGGAGAGAGAACCACGGAGAGATGGAAGAAGACTCTGGAAAAACAGAGAGGAAGATGGAGGGAGGATAACGAGGGGACAGAGTGGTCGATTGAGAAAAACACAGAGCAGAAAGAAAGCGATCCAGGTGCCGGGACAGTGGAGGAGAAGCCAGATCCCCGAGGCTGGGGGAGGCAGGGAGGGGGCTGGCCTGGCTTCCGGAGACCCCTCCCCATCTTCTGGGCCAGGGAGGCAGGGAGTGGCATTCAGGACTGGGTGGGGGGTGCTCTGGGGTGGAGATGGGGGAGCAGGAGGAGCGATTGCTGCGGCCGATAGGCGCCTCACTGCCCGGGAATGCGCCCCAGGGAGCAGTGCGCGGTTATAACTCAGGCCCGTGCCCAACGCCCAGGAGGAGGCAGCGCCCGGCCGGCCGGGAAGGCGCGGGCCTGAGAAGTCCTCAGCTGAGCCGGGAGCAAATCCCCCACCCCCTACCTGGGGGACAGGGCAGGTGAGGCCTGGGGAGGGTGGCTCAGCAGGCAGGGAAGGAGAGGTGTCTGCATGCTCTGCACCCACATCTTTCTCTGTCTTCCCCTCCTCGCCCCCTCTGGAGGCTGCTAGACTCCTGTCTTCTGAATTCCATAGTGCCTGGGTCTCAGCACAGCACGGACAGTGGGGCAGCATCTTAGCCCCCCTCTACCCGGGGAAAATAAGGTAGGGGAGGGAGGGGAAGTGGGTTAAAGGCTCCCCGGATCTCCTGGGCTTTCCCAACCTCTCTGACACCCCCCATCCAGGTGCAGCGACCATGGCTACAGTAGGACCCCCCCGGATGTGGGTGCTCCGTGCTCTGATCACAGCCTTGCTTCTGGGAGTCACAGGTAACCAGAACTCCGGGGCGTGGAGGGAGTGTGGGCGGGGCATGGGATGGGGGGACTGTACCTGCGAGATGCTAGAACGCCTGTCCCCTGGGGAACTGTGTGAGTCTGGGCATGACTCCAGGACTGGGTGAATGTGAGCCTCTGTCTGTATTTGTGGTTGTGTGATTGTATGTGGCCTTGTGACTGCCATGGTGTGTGGGGGGGGGGAGGACGCCTTTTCCCATATCAGGTGACCATGCAGCAGGTGGCACTGACGCTTTGAGACCGTATGTGCGGTTTTGTGATTGTGGGTGGTTCCACAACTCTGTGGGCGAATGCGTGTGGCACTGGGGGTGTTTACTGTGCATTTGGCTGTGTGTGGCGACTTGGCTTTGTATACGACTGCAGTTCCTGTCCCTGGGGTCCTGGGATTGTATGCAACAAAAGTGGTCGTCACCACGGAAATGTGTGACTGTGCCTGCAGGCGATTACCTGACTGGGGTTGAGTGCGACATTATGGGTGCCTACATTTGTGACCTTGTGACTGCCTGAAGCTCTATGTACCGGTGACTGTATGTGACTGTGTGTGTCTGTGTGAGGCTGTGTAAATGCTACTGTGTGTGTGATGGAGCAGCTGTGTGTCTGGAGTTTCTGTCCCTGCCTGGAGGGAGAGAGGGTGCAGGGGTGGCTGTCTCTGGGAGATGGGTGCTAGGTGACTGACATGCACTATGCCATGCTGGGCTCCTGAACTCCTGGGTCCGAGGGAGATAATTTTGTCACCATGTCAACATGCCTGTGTGGGGAAGAGTATGTGGCAGTCTGAACATCTACGCACACAGGGCATCTGTGTGTGGCACTGAGACACTGTGGATGAGGCGTGCGACCCTGCAATGCTGCCCAGGAGCGTGTGTACCTGGGGAGCGTGTGTACCTGGACACAGAGCTGCAGCATTAGCTGCATCTGTGGAGGCAATGCGTGCCTGTCCTGCACTGCATGCGTGCTTGGCTGTGACTGCGGTTGTGTGCCTGGTCCTTGGGGTGAGTTGGTGAATGATGGCAGTGGCAGGGTCATCAGCAAGGGTAAGGACCAGGCCAGGCACAGTGGCTCATGCCTCTAATCCCAGTACTTTGGGAGGCAGAGGCGGGCGGATCACCTGAGGTCAGGAATTTGAGACCAGTCTGACCAACATGGTGAAACCTCGTCTCTATTAAAAATACAAAATTAGCCGGGTGTGGTGGTGCACACCTGTAATCCCAGTTACTCGGGAGGCTGAGGCAGAGAATCGCTTGTACCTGGGAGGCGGAGGTTGTGATGAGCCAAGATCACGCCACTGCGCTCCAGCCTGGGCAACAAGAGGGAAACTCCATCCCAAAACGAAAACAAAAACGAAACAAAGTGTAAGAACCAGTGAATGGGCACGGGAGGACTGAGGGTGGAGGGGGGCATCTATGTAGTCTGTAGGTCTGTGTGTGAGAGAAGGGGATTGACAGGAGTGGGGAGGCATGTTTTCGTCGGAGAATTCAGAAACCTAGCCCTGCTCTTCCCCTCCACGTGGCCCCCTAAGCTGAGCCCTCTTTCCAGCTCCTGCTTAAGGATCCTAGCTCTGCCCATGAGCTCTGACCCTATGCCCTTCCCTCAGCCACGCCCCTAGGCCCGACTCTAGTCGAACCCCGCCTCAGGCCACACCCCTTTGTGCCAGGCTCCACCCCCTATGCTGCGGGCACCTTCTAGAGCCCCCTCCAAAGTCAGAGCTGCGTGTGTGTGTGTGTGTGTGTGTGTGGGGGGGGTGGGTGGGTGTGGGGCAGAGTTTCACTTGCTTCCAGGTTGGAGTGCGGTGGTGTGATTTCCGCTCACTGCAACCTCTGCCTCCCAGGTTCAAGTGATTCTCGTGCCTCCACCTTCCCGGTAGCTGGGATTACAGGCGCCCACCACCACACCCAGTTACTTTATATGCTTTTAGCAGAGATGGGGTTTCACCATGTTGGCCAGGCTAGTCTCGAACTCCCGACCTCAGGTGATCTGCCTGCCTCGGCCTCCCAGAGTGCTGGGGTTTCAGGCGTGAGCCACCATGCCCCGCCCAAATTCAGAGCTCTTTACGGAAGATTCCAAACGTAACCCTGGCCTTGACCCTGAGCAAGTCGACTCCAAACCCCTCTCTGCCTCCAGCCCTGACCCAACTCACTGAGGCCTGGCCCCACTTCTTGAGACCAGTTCCATCCCTAAAGCCCTGGTCTCCCTCCCATCCCCAGGCTCCAGCCCCCACAGCCTTGGCTCTATCCCTGAGCTTGTCCAGGAATCCTGTACCCAATTTTACCCTCCTCTGGTGCCGCTCATTTAGTTGTAGCCAATTCCAGGAATCCGTGAGGTCCACTTACGATTCCAGTAACCCTACCTGAGCCTGGGCTCTGTCCTTGGGCGTAAGCCTGGTCTTCAGAGGTGCCACTCTTATTCTCCAGGCCCCGCCCCTAGGCCCTGGCCCCGCCCCCTCAGCGGGTCAGACACCCACCCTCCAGCTGGTCCACTCTCTAGCTGGAAGGCCCTCTGGAGTCTGAGACCCACCCCGAGCCCAAGCCCCGCCTCTGAGCCCCGCCCAACCCATTTTCCACCCCAGAGCGTGTTCTGGCAAACGACGATGTCTCCTGTGGCAACCCCCCTAACACTGGGCCCTCTGGGAGCAATCGGGACCTTGGAGCTGGGGCCGGGGAAGACGCCCCGTCGGACAACAGCAGCAGCCGCATCATCAATGGGTCCGACTGCGAGAAGCACAGCCAGCAGTGGCAGGCCGCGCTGCTGCGAGGACCCAACCAGCTCTACTGCGGGGCGGTGCTGGTGCATCCGCAGTGGCTGCTCACGGCCGCGCACTGCAGGAAGACGTGAGTGGGGTTCCTAGAGGAGGGCTGGTGGGGATGGGGAAGTGGGGGCGGCGGCTTGGAGGTGAGGGCTGGTGGGGATGGCGAAGTGGGGTCGGGGGTTTGGAGGTGAGGGCTGGTGGGGATGGGGAAGTGGGGTCGGGGGTTTGGAGGTGAGGGCTGGTGGCGACGGGTTGGGAACGTGGGAGCAGGAGCAGGCCAAGTTTCGGATAAGACTAAGGATGGAGTTTTGTGGAGAGTCGGGTGGGAGGATGAGGTTAGATGGGGACAGTGCTGTGTAGGGAATGGGAAGGAGCTAAGGATGGTTTGGATTTGGGGTTAGGAACGTTTATCTGTTGAATGGTTTGGGATGGAGGTGGAATTAGCATTGGCTTTAGAATTGGGGGTGGGTGAAAATCGGGCTGGGGTGCAAATGAAGATGGAGTGGAGATAGGGTTGGGATTGGGAAGAGATACAGAATTAAGGACGGGGATTGGAGTTTTTGGTGGGGTTGGGGATGCCTGGATTTGGACTGAGAATGCATATGGTGATGGCCTCTGGGTAGGGAAAGGATTAGGGTTGGGAATGGGATGGGTTTGGAATTGGGATTGGGAAGGGGACAGGCATGGGATTGGAGACCAAGATGGAGTTGAGGATGGTTTGGGGGCTGGGGGTGAGGGTGGGGGTGGGGGTGGGGCTGGTGCTGGGTGTGGGGTTCGATTGGCGTTGGATGGAGATGAGGCTCAGGGTTGGTAGTGAACTGCCCCCTCTTCCTTAGAGTTTTCAGAGTCCGTCTCGGCCACCAATCCCTGTCACCAGTCTATGAATCTGGGCAGCAGACGTTCCAGGGGATCAAATCCATCCCCCACCCTGGCTACGCCCACCCTGGCCACTCTAACGACCTCATGCTCATCAAACTGAACAGAAGAATTCGTGTCACTAAAGACGTCAAGCCCATCAACGTCTCCTCCCATTGTCCATCTGCTGGGACAAAGTGTTTGGTATCTGGCTGGGGGACAACCAACAGCCCCCAAGGTGAGTGTCCAGGTTTCTTCTTTTTTTTTTTTTTTTAGACGGAGTCTTGCTCTCTCACCCAGGCTGGAGTCTGTGGCTCACCGCAACCTCTGCCTCCCGGGTTCAAGCGATTCTCCTGCCTCAGCCTCCCGAGTAGCTGGGATTACAGGCTCCTGCCATCGTGCCTGGCTAATTTTTGTATTTTTAGTAGAGATGGGGTTTCACTATCTTGGTCAGGCTGGTCTTGAACTCCTGACCTCGTGATCCCACCACCTCGACCTCCCAAAGTGCTGGGATTACGGGCGTGAGCCCCCACGCCCGGCCCCAGGTTTCTTCTGGATACCTACCTGTCTCTGCCGCTGTCCATCTTTCTCCGCCTCTCATTGTGTTCTGTTTGACAGTGCACTTCCCCAAGACCCTCCAGTGCCTGAATATCACGGTGCTAAGTCAGAAAAGGTGCGAGGATGCCTACCCGAGACAGATAGATGACACCATGTTCTGTGCCGGTGACGAGGCAGGTAGAGACTCCTGCCAGGTGAGGATACGTCTCTCCTTATTCAGAAGATACACACTGAGTACCAACTCGATAACATGGGACTCTTGTCAAGTTCTGGGAATCTAGCAATCACCAAGACAGTTAGGACCCCTGTTCTCACAGAGCTCATGCCCTAGGGTAGTGATGTTTAGTAGAAAGAATGCCGAGCTGCTTATGTGGTTTCCAATTTTCTAGTAGCCACATTAAAACAAGTAAAAAAAGGCCAGGCGTGGTGGCTCATGGCTGTATCCCAGCACTCTGGGAGGCCGAGGTGGGTGGATCATGAGGACAGAAGTTCAAGACCAGTCTGGCCAACATGATGAAACCCCGTCTCTACTAAAAATACGAAAGTTAACTGGGTATGGTGGCAGGCACCTGTAATCCCAGCTATTCAGGAGGCTGAGGGAGGAGAATCGCTTGAACCTGGGAGGCAGAGGTTGCAGTGAGACGAAATCGCGCCACTGCACTCCAGCCTGGGTGACAGAGCAAGACTCCGTCTCAAAACAAACAACAAAAAAGTAGGGGGAACAGTAAGAATTGGGGCTGGAGGGGTAGGCAGGGGTGAATGTTCTACAAGCGTTTCTTGGTCCCCAACACAGAGCTTCCCTTTGTTCTAATGGCAGCTGTATCTGTTGAGGAAGGCAGACTTGAAAATCAAACTGTTGGCTCCCAAGGAATCTAGAGGGGCATAAGTTAGCAAGCTCTCATTAGCAGGGAGCTTGTGCGTTTCAACAGTGGTTAGGAAGCTGGGGATTCAGGAGTACTCCTGTCTATGGCTGTGAAAAGCGCCCCACCGGCCAGGTGCAGTGGCTCACGCCTGCAATCCCAGCACTTTGGGAGGCCGAGGGTGGATCACTTGAGGTCTGAGGAAGGAGAATAGCTTGAACCCGGGAGGCGGAGGTTGCGGTGAGCCGAGATCGCGCCATTGCACTCCAGCCTGGGCAACAAGAGTGAAACTGTCTCAAAAAAAAAAAAAAAAAAAGTAAAGCTCCCCACAAAATTGTATAGACCTGACAATTGCAACAACTTCCCAGCTCTCCCAGTTTCTCTGTGCCCTGGGTGTCGGGGTAGGGTGGAGAGGGGGAACATTTTTAGCAGAAGAAGGCACAGCTCATTCCAATTGTGGCATTTACAACTAGCCCTTCTGTTGGCAACATTAGTATCTTGTTTTTCCAGACTTCAAAGTGTTTTGTTTTGTTTTGTTTCAGACCAGGTGTAGGCTCTGGGTGTGACCACTAAAAGCTACAAGCAGGAAATAATAACAGCTACAACAATACTAATACTAAAGGTGTCAGAGTAATAGCAGCTCGCTAATTGCTGGACAGTTTTAAGCAGTTCTTATGCCTCGGCTCACTCATTCAGCTGTTCTTATTAGTCCTGTTTACAGACAAGAAGTCAAGCTCAGAGCAGTTAGCTAATCGCCTCTCAAAAGAAACTCCCAAAAGAAACTCCGCAGAGATATTAAATTACAAAGTAATGAGAGAAATTAAACTACAAGAAAGTTGCAATTTAGAGGTGGAGGCAGCTAAGCTTGTTTACCTTGAAACAATGTCTGCTGCTGGGGAAAGGGTAAATCTTGGCTCTCCTAATAACTGATACCAGGACTCTGTAATTATTCATATTTTGCATGAATATACATAAGAAGCGAGGCCAGGTGCAATGGCACATACCTGTAATCCCAGCGCTTTCGGAGACTGAAGTGGGAAGATCACTTGAGCTCAGGAGTTCAAGACCAGCCTGGGCAACTAAAAAATACAAAAAAATACGAACTGTTTTTATTTTTGAAGATTTTATTCATGCCACTTACATAATTATTGTAGTATGTACATATTTATCTATCTGTAACAGAGATAGATATTTCTGGTTTTTTTTTTCTTTCTTTCTTTCTTTGAGACGAAGTCTCGCTCTGTCACCCAGGCTGGAGCGCAGCGGCACCATCTCAGCTCACTGCAGCCTGCATCTCCCAGGTTCAATCAAGCATTTCTCCCACTGCAGCCTTTCAAGTAGCTGGGATAACAGGCACCCACCACCATGCCCAGCTAATTCTTTTTTTTTTTTTTTTTTTTTTTTGGTAGAGACAGGGTTTCACCATGTTGGCCAAGCTGGTCTTGAATTCGTGACCTCAAGTGATCTGCCTGCCTCAGCCTTCCAAATTCCTGGGATTACATGTGTGAGCTACCATGCCCAGCCGGGAGATAATTTCTCTCTACCTCAAACAGAGGTCCACTGAAGCTACTTTTCATTTTCTTCATACATGTTGGCTAAGTGGTTATGTCGCCCCAGGAGTATCAGGCAAAACAGACCAAATTCCTGCTGCATGGAGCTCACGTTCCATGAGTGGAAAACAGATAATAAAGAGACAGATAAATATGTACTAAAATTCTTTTAAAAAATTAGCGGGTGTGGTGGCTTGCACCTGTAGTCTCAGCTATTTGGAAGGATCAGGAGGTGGGAGGATCACTCGAACCCAGGAGTTTGAGGCTGCAGTAAGCCATGACTGCACCACTGCACTCCAGACAGCAGCCTGGGTGACGGAGCAAGACCTTTTTGTCAAAAAGAGAAAAAAAGGAAAGAGGGAAGGAGGGCGGGAGGGATGGGGGAGGGGGGAGAGGGAGGGAGGGAAGGAGGGAAGAAAGAAAGAAAGAAAAAGGAAGGAGAGAGGGAGAGAGGAAGGGACAGAGAGAAAGAGAAAAGAAAGAGAGGGAAGGAAAGAGGAAGGAAGGAGGGAGGGAAAAAAGAAAAGAGAGAGGGAGGGAGGGAAAGAGGAAGGAAGCAAGGAAGGAAGGAAGGAAGGAAGTTGAAGAGCGGTGAGTATTATTTTGGAGGGTAATTATAGGGCAGTATGAGGAATTGAGGACAGGAAATGCAAATCAGTCCAAGCAAACGGATTTCTATCGGGAGTGATTCTGCCCCCAGGAGACATCGGCAATACCAGGAGACGTTTTTGTTGTCGCAGCTGCGTGGAGGGGGCATTACTGGCATCTAGTGGGTAGAGGTCAAGGGTGCTGCTCTGCGTGCTGGGAGGCACAGGGCAGGCCTCACAAGAAACCACTATCCAGCTTCAGGCGCCCACGGTGCCCATGTTGAGAAGCCCTCATCCAGGGGCTGAGAATGTACTTTTGCAGAAGGGAGTTATGAGGCTGCATTGGTGGAGACTGAGGGAGGAAGGAGCGTGTCGAGTAAGAGAAATAAGGCACGCACAGGCCGGAGGGGAGAGTGAAAGACAGAGAGGCCAGGAAATACACGCCGAGGGAGACAGACTGGGACGAACGTAGAGACAGAGATTCGAGATGCAGAGAGGAAGGCTCACAGACCCGGAAATGACGTGTGGACTAGAGGAGTCTGGAAGAGAAAGATTGAGTGGACAGTGATAAATGGGGTCTAAAGGCTGGACTTGGAAGCCAGGCGCGGTGGCTCACGCCTGTAATCCCAGCACCTTGGGAGGCCAAGGCGGGCAGATCACCTGAGGCCAGGAGCTGGAGACCAGTCTGGCCAACATGGTGAAACCCTGTCTCTACTAAAAATACAAAAAAAAAAAAAAAAAATTAGCCAAGTGTGGTGGCGTGCGCCTGTGATCCCAGCTACTCGGGAGGCTAAGGCAGGGGAGTTGCTTGAACCAGGGAGGTGGAGGTTGCAGTGAGCCAAGATCACATCATTGCACTCCAGCCTGAGCAACAGAGTGAGACTCTGTTTCAAATAAATAAATCAATTAGCCGGTGTGGTGGTGGGCACATGTAGCCCCAGCTACTGGAGAGGCTGAGGTGGGAGAACTGCTTAAACCCGGGAGGTGGAGGCTGCAATGAGCTGAGATCAGGCCACTGCACTCCAGCTTGGGTGACAGAGCGAGACTCTGTCTCAAAGAAAAAAAAAAGTTGGATTTGGGGTGAAATCTTAACAGCACTCTCCCTCTTTGTCTCTTTTTGCCTGTTTTTGCCTGCGTCTCCGTCTCTGTCTTTTTCTGCATCTCTTCACCTCTGTATGTCCCACTTCTGTGTGTCCGTCTCCGTCTCCTTCTCCATCTGTGCGGGTCTCTGGGTCTCTTGTGCCTCCTTCCACCCACCTTGCTGCGTGTCTGCCTCTCTCGTGGCTCCCTTTCCCTCCTGCAGGGCGATTCTGGGGGGCCCGTGGTGTGCGATGGCTTCCTGCAGGGACTCGTGTCCTGGGGGGATTACCCATGTGCCCAGCCCAACAGACCCGGCGTCTACACCAACCTCTGCAAGTTCAACAAGTGGATCCAGGAAACCATCCAGGCCAACTCCTGAGTCGTTCCAGGACTCAGCACGCCGACATCCCCACCTGCTGCAGGGACAGCCCCGACACCCCTTTCAGACCCTGGTTCCTTCCCAGCGATGGTGGGAAAGAATGTTCCTCTCTCCAGCCCCTGACTCTCTGTCTCCTGAACTCAGGGTCCCCTTCCCCGACGATGGGCTAACCCTGTCTCTCTCTGGGCCCATCCCTTCTCTGCAGCGGTGACCCGAATGTAGTCCCAGAAATAAAGTGACTGAGAAGTGGACTCTGCGTGTGTCTCCTCCCTGTGCAGGGTGGCTGTGAGCAAGTCGCATGTCTGGCTCCAGGCTGGTGTGTTTCGTCCAGGAAGTCACTTTTGGGTTGTGAGGAACAGAGGTCCAGTCAAACTACTTCTCATTTTTTCATAAATATTGGCCAGGTGGATAATTTTTTTTTTTTTTTTTTGAGACAGAGTCTCACTTTGTCACTCAGGCTGGAGTGCAGTGGTACAACCTCGGCTCACTGCAACCTCTGCCTCCCAGGTTCGAGCAATTCTCCTGCCTCAGCCTCCCAGTAGCTGGGATTACACGTGTGTGCCACCATACCACACCCAGCTAGTTTTTGTATTTTTAGTAGATGCTACCCAAGATACTACCCAAGACTGGGTAATTTATAGAGGAAAGAGGTTTAATTGACTCAGAGTTCAGCATGGCTGGGGAGGCCTCAGGAAACTTAAAATCACGGTAGAAGGGGAAGAAAACATGTCCTTCACAGGGCAGTGGAAAGAAGACGTGCAGAGTGAAGGGGGAAGCCGCAAAACCATCAGACCTTGTCAGAGCTCACTGCTATCACGAGAATAACACGGGGGGAACCACGCCGATGATCTAATCACCTCCCACGAGATCCTGCCCCCAACACGTGGGGATTAAGATTCAGATTAAAATTCAAGAAGAGATTTGGGTGGGGACACACAGCCAGACCATATCACTTACCAAAAGGATATCCGTGAATTTAAATTGGAAAATGTGAGGGCAGAAACAGCTGCCTGTGGGATCTCTATCCCTTCTCCCCTAGTTATGTATCTCTCACATTCTCTTTCTTCTCGTCCCACCTCTGTTTTCTCATCACATTGACTGCCTGTTGCCCATCAAAGCGTCTCCTGTCACCCCTGTAACTGCCTGCAGTCACTGGGTTTTCTTAGTTCATAGCCCCTAGAGAGAAAAAAACCAGTCGGTTGTCCTCGGGTCAGACGCAGACTCTGTCTCCAGTCTGACAGGTGGTCCCACAAAGTGCAACATGGATCCCCCAGCCACCCCTTCATCCATAGCAGTGGGTAGGGCAGGGCCCCTAAGAAGGTTGTGGGCATGAGGGTCACTGAAATAGACAACACATCAATGGACAGACATTTCAGTCTTCAGCGCTTTCTGAGTGACCTGTGTAACGGTCATTTGTACTTTTTCTGGATCTCAGTTTCTCTATCTGTAAAATGGGAGGATTAAAACATAATGACTCCACGTGGCAATCCAGCTCTAAGACTCTTCAAGATACTCGGGGGTAGTTATAGAAAGTCACTCCAGAGAATACCTTGGAAATTGAACACTCTGGAAAAGAAATAACACTAGAAAATTTTTATCAGTAACAAAATGCCCAACTCAAAGTGGATAAAGCAATAAGGCCGTGTATTATTTCATATAACAAAAAGCCCCAAAAGAGGGCAGTACTGTGGTTTGGTGATTCCTACATTGCATCATTAGGGACCCACCTGTCTTCTCCACTGTCCTCTGCACTCATCCATTCATTTATTCAAGTAATGGACGCCTATGAGAGTCAGGTAATATTACAGACACTTGGGATAGACCGATTAATAAAACAGACACCAAACCCCTACCTTCTTTAAGCTTATGTTCTAGCAGGAAGAAGAAAATATGGCAGCTTTCTCCTTTAGGCTTATAATCTCATGGCTTTAAAATGGCTGCCAGAGCTCCAGACATCACATCCTCACACATCATGACAAAAGGCAGGAAAGAAAGACTCTGTTGGCAGAGCTCTTTTCATTGGGAAAGAAAGTCTTTTCCAGAGTCTCCCCCACACCCCCAGATCTGTTCTTGGGTCTCAATGACCACTCACTGGAGAAGATCCCAGTGCTGACACGCTAGCGTCAACAGAAGCTGGGAAAGTGAGTTTCTGGCATTTCTCTGTCATGGATACAGTCCTTGCCAGCAAGGAAGAAGAGATGAGAAGTGGCTGCCTCATAAACAGTCAATGGTGTGAGAGAAGAAAGCATACATCAAAATGATGCAGGAATTATCACCATTCTCTTCCCCTTTGTGCCCAACCATTTACAAGTCCTCACAACTTTTTAGGGAACATTCCAGAAAGGCTGGAGTGCCAGGGTGTGTAATATGGTGTGAAAATAGGGACAGACAGTACAGTTGTAATTCAATGGTTTAGTTTTGTTTGAGACAGAGTCTCGCTCTGTCACCCAGGCTGAAGTGCAGTGGCACAATCTTGGCTCACTGCAACCTCTGCCTCCCCAGTTCAAGCAATTCTCATGCCTCAGCCTCCTGAGTGGCTTGGACTACAGGTGTGCACCACCATGCCTGGCTACTTTACATATATATATATATTTATTTATATTTATATTTATATTTTTTTGAGACAAGAGTCTCGCTTTGTTGCCAGGCTGGAGTGCAGTGTGCAGTGGCACCATCTTGGCTCACTGCAACCTCTGCCACCCGGGTTCAAGCGATTCTCCTGCTTCAGCCTCCCAAGTAGCTGGAAATACAGGTGCACGCCACCACACCCAGCTAATTTTTGTATTTTAGTAGAGTCAGGCCGGGATGCTCTCAATTTCTTTCTTTCTTTTCTTTTCTTTCTTTTTTTTTTTTTTTTTTGAGACAGAGTTTCTCTCTTGTTACCCAGGCTGGAGTGCAATGGCGCGATCTCGGCTCACCGCAACCTCCGCCTCCTGGGTTCAGGCAATTCTACTGCCTGAGTCTCCTGAGTAGCTGGGATTACAGGCGTGCACCACCATGCCCAGCTAATTTTTTGTATTTTTAGTAGAGACGGGGTTTCACCATGTTGACCAGGATGGTCTCGATCTCTTGACCTCGTGATCCACCCGCCTCAGCCTTCCAAAGTGCTGGGATTACAGGCTTGAGCCACCACGCCCGGCGCTCTCAATTTCTTGGCCTCGTGATCCAGCCGCTTTGGCCTCCCAAAATGCTGGGATTACAGGCCTGAGCCACCACGCCTGGCTAATTTTTCTATTTTTAGTAGAGACAGACTTTCAATATGTTGGCCAGGCTGGTCTCACACTCCTGACCTGAGGTAATCTACTCACCTCAGCCTCCCAAAGTGCTGAGATTACAGGTGCAAGCCACCACACCTGGCCTCAAAATTTTTTTTTAATATTAAAAAAAAATCTAGATAGGAGCAGAATCCTAGCCAAGGGGCAGTCTTGAGCGCGTTTTCCAAAATGATGTTTCCGGTTAAGCTGCTTTGAGGAACAAGTAAGAGGAGATTCATGCTGTCTTCAATAGTAAATAAAGTTTTAATTTCACATATCAAGAAACCCAGGTAAGGATGGCTCCAGGCATAGAGCGTCAGGGCTCTGGTCTGTTTCTCTCTGCTTCTCTTGTTCCTCCCTGGCGGGGGGTCATCATCCTTAAGATCAACACCTGTAGTGGGTCTGTCTTTGAGAAGGATGATACGTTTCCAGAAACCACCCCGGAAGAATTTTATCTTATTCTTTCTGGCCAGAATTGGGTCACATGTCCTTTCCTAAGCCAGTCACAGACTTGGGGAGGGGGAGCGGGGAAGAGATGAACATGGTTGATTTGAACCAAACACAATTATTCTTTTGAGATTGGACTGGAGGGCTCCCCTAGAGCATGTAGGGCTGCTCCTTGAGTGAAATCAGGATTCTGTCATCAAATTACCTTTTTCTTTTTCTTTTTCAGACAGAGTCTTACTCTGTCACCAGGCTGGAATGCAGTGTGTGATCTGGGCTCACTGCAACCTCAGCCTCCTGGCTTCAAGCGATTCTCCTGCCTCAGCCTCCTGAGTAGTTGGGATTACAGGTTCATGCCACCCTGCCTGGCTCATTTTTGTATTTGTAGTAGAGACGAGGTTTCACCATATTGGTCAGGCTGGTCTTGAACTCCTGACATCATGATCCGCCCACTGTGACCTCCCAAAGTGCTGGGATTACAGGCATGAGCCACCCTACCTGGCTAAATTAACTTTTATTGAAGGATAATGAGCATAAAAAACATGCACAGAAGTATCAATAAATGCTAGTGGATTTTCACAAAACAGAACACGACCTTGTAACCAGCATCCAGAGAGAGCCACAGAATATAAGGAGCTCCCCAGAAAAACCAGCGGGGTCCCCTTGCAGTCACTACCTCCCCTGCCAAGTAGCCACTTCCACCACTACCTAACTCCCTCACTGCAAGGGTAGCGACTTTTTAAAATTTTTTTTCTGAGATGGAGTCTTGCTCTGTTACCCAGGCTGGAGTGCAATGGCGCGATCTCGGCTCACCACAACCTCCGCCTCCTGGGTTCAAGTGTTTTCTCCTGCCTCAGCCTCCCGAGTAGCTTGGATTAGAGGCATGCACCACCAAGCCCAGCTAATTTTTGTATTTTTAGTAGAGACCGGTTTTCCCATGTTGGTGAGGCTGATCTCGAAATCCTGACCTCATGATCTACCTGCCTTGGCCTCCCAAAGTGCTGGGATTCCAGGCGTGAGCCACAGCACCTGGCCAAGGGTAGCGACTTTCATGACTTCTCCGTAAGCGTAGGGACTTTCATGACGTTTATCACTATAAGTTAATTTTGCCCATGTATGAACAACGTATAAACATAAAATTTATTTACCTAGATAGATATATAGAAGTATTATAAGTTTATATAAATAAAAACTCATTAGCATACTGTATTATTTTATGTTGGGCTTTTTTCTTTCTTTTTTTTTTTTTTAAGACAGAGTCTCACTCTTGTTGTTCAGGCTGGAGTACAGTGGCACAGTCTTGGCTCACTGCAACCTCTGCTTCCCAGGTTCAAGGCTGGGACTACGTACCTATGCCACCACGCCCAGCTAATTTTTGTATTTTTAGTAAAGACAGGGTTTCACCATGTTGGCCAGGATGGTGTAGATCTCTTGACCTCATGATCTGCCCATCTTGGCCTCCCAAAGTGCTGGGATTCCAGGAGTGAGCCACCACACCCAGCCTTTGTTTGGGAGGTGGGGGCGGGAGCTAAATATTACATATTGTGTGGGTT